GGGAAAGAAAACAGGAAGAAAGCTTGTTCTCAGCTGGGATGCTATTGAAGAATGCATTTGGACAGACAGCAAGCTCCAGGGTCTCCCTGTTCAGACATAGCACAGATCACTTCACCCTAGTTTTCCCAGATCCCAATTCTGTCAAAGTTTTCGCAGTAGCAATTACAGAGCTGAAAATCTTCACTCACCTCAATTTTCTATCATCTGTTTCTACAGTAGTTAACTAGCAATGCAACATTTTAAAGCACTGAGTACAGAAGACAGTATTGACCTACCAAATTTCTACCTGGCGTGGTATATGGTTCAAAGCATTAAACCATTTGTACTATTGTTTAAGACATTGACTTTTCTTGTTTGCAAGAAAAATTCTTAACCTCAGTTGAGTTCTCTTGCATCTCTGACTATCTGTGGCATTCAGCTCAATTGCAGACCTGATGAGAGATTAGCAGAGAATAAAGTCAGATTCTAATCTGAGTACCAAGCAATCTGCCCAGAGGAATACTCTCTCTTCTTGCTTGACAGAGCCAACTGTTGAAAGGAGTTTCTGAGAACTGAATTGTCTAATTTGCAGTCTCTATTGTTGGATTCTTCAGAAAAAGCTACCCGTCTTCCTGTACATTGCCAGAGGAGAATTCAATGAGGGAGACAAGACAGTCAGAGAGTATTTTAAAAAAAATCCTGTTTTTGGACTTTCCCACTTAGCTGTCATTAATGTGAATAAAGGTTCTGTAATTCTGCCCACCTGCATCTTTAGGGACCTTTTAAAAATTATATATTCTACAGACTGTAAAAATGAGGGGAGAATGTTTACCATATTTTCTGCATGTACACACACAAACATGATGAGAAGAAATGTAACAACTTCAAGTTCATCAGGAGATGTTGGGGGTGGGGGATAAAAAAGTAAGTGTCTTTTAATGTTTAGTTGGTACCTTGAAGTTGTGGATTGTTTACCACAGCCTTCTCTAATGGAAGACACTGTCACCTTCAAGAGTAAACTGAAGCAAGATGAACCAAAGTAGTCAAACCTGTGAAACAGAGAACCATGAAGCAATAAGACAAATGCCATGGGTTCAAGATCAGGCTGCAGTTTACTCAGATCATGAAAGAAAGTGCTGTAAGCTGAGTTTCATAGACACACAGATAAAACAGATAAGGTTCCCAGACTTGTATCAGATTATCAGTCTCTACAGCATGACCATGGGGCATCCACAGTCAACAGAGGATATGATCTCTGCTCACATCAAGAGCTCTCCCAAGCAGCTGCTTCTGTGCTTTGTCTGGCCCCAGCCAGATTCTAACTGGTAGAAGTCAATGTCTTTCTAAGCAGGATATGGTTAGTGTGGGAGATCAATATTTTTTATTTTCATTGTGTCCAGACTTATTGGATGTTAGTGGTGGATAATGGCTGCATTAAGAAAGTAGTTCCTTTCATGAAGCTTTGCACTGGAAATACAAATTACTTTTTCCTTTGAAGTAAAAGTGTTAATTGTTGTTTTCACACAATTACATGCATTCTATGAATTTTTTTTTCTGCTTCTTGCTTCCCAATAGCCTGCATGGTTTTGTGCTTCCCCTTGAGATGAAACAGAATTCATTAAAGCAAAGCATGTTATGGCTGCCAAGTTAGCACTGTGTGTGTATGTAAATGGGTATGCTGTTCATCTACGAATATTCTAATTTCTGCCATTATGCACAGGAGATTTTATTTCTGCTTATCTGAAAATATATTTCATCCAAGGATGTATAATGTTCAGCA